TATGGTTTCTGAGGAGCAGCTGGTGAGCTTGAACTGCTGACCTTGTAGTTCAAACCAGCCTTACAGTCCAACACATTAACCCACAGTACCACTTACATAAGAATTTAAAAATCTACTTATCCTGAAAGTATAATACTAATTTTAGAATTAATGCCTATGCTCTATTAGCAATATTACATTTTCAAAATAACTTTCCTTTACTAATAAAACAAGACAACTCTAAAGCATCAGCCATATAAGCTCTAGAGAAATTCGGAAACACAGTCTTAGGTTAAGAAATGACACCTTTCTCTTTGCTTTATATTTTGTTGTTGTTAAGTGCCGTGGAGTCAGTTCTGACTCATAGCCACCCTGTATAGGGTTTCTGAGAAGCAGCTGGTGGGTTTGAACCACCAACCTTGCAGTTAATAGTCCAATGTTTATCCTATAGAGCCATACCAGTACTCTGCTTTACACTTTGGGCAAACCAAAACACTGAGAGCATCATCTTACTTTAATGAGTCAATAAAACCATCACTTAAATGTAATTGGTAATCTAACAGTTTTCCCCAAAAAGTTTTTCCTTGAGGACACCTACCAAAGGTTATATGAAAAGAAAACTAGTTTACAAGTTAATTCCACTCCATCTTATATCTGGCTCCTAAGGAACAGAAGTAATTGTAAATATGCCAAAGTCACTGAATATTTTATATTAGAAGTGTGCCTTTTAAAAAAAAAAAAAAAAAAAAGAATGACTGTATGGGAAGGTTAATACCATGTATAAGTTCAAGAGTTAGTTATAAAGCTGGGATTGTCACCCAGGCATTTTGCTTCACTGGCCATGTGTTTAACCATTAGGCTATAACTGTTTTCTTGTTGAAAGAAGTGACCCAGCAGATTGAATTAAATATTGAATTTAAACCCCCTGAGCATGTAGACACAGTTATTTGAACACACAGGAAATATTAAAGGTGTGAATAAAAATAACTTGGAAGCTATTTAAAGACATTCCCCATTTATCTGAATCACTTAGAGAAAACTATAATTATCCTAGAGATAACCACTTATTAATAATGACAACTTAATCATAGTTGTTGACCCATGTGCTTTTTTTCAAAAGGACAGCAGGTTTAATTTATTAAAATTCACTGTGTAATGACCCAGAACCACTTGCTAACAACAGGTGATTTAACCTCTATAAAAATAAACCAAATGGTTTTAATGAATCAAGGAATCTCAAGGCTTTGGTTAAGAGGTGGAGATCAGAACAAAAAGGGCTTTAAAAGTCAGACTTCATACACTGTGATTTTCAGTCCAAATTTATCTAAAATAAAGGATTTGTAAAAGGATCATAGTCATCCTCTGTGTGCCTTGTGAATCTCATAAATTATACGTTGTTTCCTGTGTCTTGTGTTTGTATTTTAAACTTACTGTTGCTTCGTCAGACAAATGCATCCTAATAGTAAACTTTTGTATTTGTGTAGAAAAAATACCACATTATGGAGCCCTGGGGTGGTGCTGTTGGATAAGCACTAGACGGCTAACTGCAAGGTCAGCAGTTCAAACCCACAAACCACTCCCTTGAAACCCAAAACAGGGTCACTATTAGTCAGAACCAACATGAAGTCACTTTACAACAAGAACAAATATCACAATAAAATTGAATGTCCTTGATTTTGTTTCTTGTATGTTAATGATCCTTATTAACTGCAGGCAGTAATTATTTGTAAGGATGAGCAATAACTCTATAAATGGGAGTTACCTCAGTACATTCAAATTCCTTTACGTCACAAACCTTTCCCCACTTTTACTGGTGGTTTTCTTGTTGCCCTAAAATCTAATATGTATAAGAATCTTGTCTTTCCAGTTGCTTACTGGCTTTGATATTATACATAGGAATTCAGATAATCTTCTTCAAGGTTCTGCTTGTAGTCCTCTTACCATTCTGTGTAATTCACCACTCATAAATATGCTGATTTTTTTTTTTTTTTTTAAATATGTGTGTTTAGTCCTACCATTTCTAAAACATTCTATGGCTGTGTCTTAAATTACTCATTGGATATTTGTGTCCTAAGAACAAAACAAAACAACAAAACCATCGCATTTTAATATAAAAAGTAAAACAAACTATAATTCAAAGAGATATGAAAACCCAAATGTTGTTGTTGTTGTTAGTTGCCATCGAGTTGGTACTGACTCATAGCGACCTTATGCACAGCACAATGAAACATTGTCTGATCCTGGGCCAACCTCACTACTGTTGCCACGCTTGAGTTCATAGATGCTGCCACTTGGCCAATCCATCTCATTAAGGGTCTTCCTCTTTTTCTCTGACCCTCTACCTTACCAAACATGATATCCTTCTTCAGCGACTGGTGCCTCCTGACAATATGTCCAAAGTATGAAAGACAAAGTTTGGCCATCTTGGCCTCCAAGGAGCACTCTAGTTGCACTTCTTCCAAAATGGACCTATTTGTTCATTTGGCAGCCCATGGCACTTTCAATATTCTCCTCCAACACCGTAACTCAAAAGCATCAATTATTCTATTGTCTTCCTTATTTACTGGCCAACTTTCACATGCATATGAAGTTATTGAAATACCATGGCTTGGGTCAGATGCAGCTTCCTCCACAAGATGACATCTTTGCTTTCCAACACTTTAAAAAGTTATTGTGCAGTAGATTTGCCTAATGCAATATGCCATTTGATTTATTGACTGCTGCTTCCATGACTGTTGACAGTTGATACAAGAAGAATGAAGTCCTTGACAACTTCAATCTTTTCTCCATTGATAAGAATGTTGTTTATTGGTCTAATGGTGAGGATTTTTGTTTTCTTTACATTGAGATGTAATCCATAGCGAAGGCTGTGCTCTTTGCTCTTCATCAGTGAATGTTTTAAGTCCCCTTCACTTTCAGCAAGCAAGATTGTATCATCTGCATATTGCAGGTTGTTAATGAGTCTTCCTCCAATCCTGATTCCATGTTTTTCTTCATAGAACCCAGCTTCACAAATTATTTTCTCAGCATACAGGTTGAATAAGAATGGTGAAAGAACCTTGTCGCACACCTTTTTTAATTTTAACCATTCATTGTTCCCATGTTCTGTTTGAACAACTGCCCCTTGGTCCAGGTACAGATTCCTCATGAGCACAATTAAGTGTTCAGGAATACTCATACTTTGCAATGTTGTCCATAGCTTGTCATGATCCACAAAATTGAAAGCCTTTGGCTGCCAGAAGAACCAATAGATTCATTTTGGAAGAAGTGCAGCCAGAATGTCCAAACTTCGTCTCTCATACTTTGGACACATTGTCAGGAGGGAGCATTTGCTGGAGAAGGATATCATGTTTGGTAGGTGGAAGGCCAGAGAAAAAGAGGAAGACCCTCGATGAGATGGATTGACCAGGTTGGAAGCATCAATGGACTCAAGTGTGGCAACAGTAGTGAGGTTGGC